CAGAGAGATAGGAGGATGCATCTCCTCTCTTGGGCCTAAGCATTTTCATCATCATAATTTACCAGATACGCTACATTTGGGATCTACTGGACATTTGCCTATAATAAAACACTTCAGTCTCCATTCACTGTCAATCCTAATATGATGTCTCCATTAGCCAAAATGTTGAAGAATGAGTTGCATCAAATCTATCTTGAGGTCATCATATATTTTTGATGCCATTACTTACCTCCAATGTGACAGACAATGAGGGATCACCAAGCTCAGCCCATGAAGTGCTGGAGGCTGTCAGCAGCTGATTTAACAGCTGTATCTAGAACACATGTATCTAGGCAACTGGCCTTGGCAATGGAGCAAGTTGCAGCAGCTTTTATTGTGTTAACGGGAACAAAACACAGATTTGGCTGGATTCCTCAGATGCCAAACAATAAATGAGATGAGAAAAAACAATCCATTCTAAGAACGAAGTGTAGCTTTTCTTTGGACCACACAATGAGCGAGAACTCTGGCCTTGGGCAAAGATAGATGGGAGAGAAATTCCTAATGGCCTTCGGGCTGCAAAGTTCTACTTTTCAAGGACTTTGCAGTCCTGGTGGGGCAAGGAGGGCAAGGTGCTTAATGAAGTCAGGAAAAGAGCTCCCTGAAGCAGGCCTTTCAGCAAGCAGAGGTGGGAGTCACCATGGCTGGAATGCACAGACTTCCAGCATGGCAGCTGCAAGGCACAGGCACAGTTCCCTCGCGTTCCTCCTCAGGCCTCACCAAGGGACGAGTAAGCAAGGCTGTCAGCAGACAGTAGAGAATTCCGTATTTTGTGTCAGCAATGGGCACAGCCATCTGCCCATGTCAAAAGCCTGACAATGCTGGGCTCCCCAACACAACCCACATCCAAGTTTACCCCTCCACAGCTCAGTTACTTCTTTACTTCAGGTAATCCTCTCTCACCTAGAAAAATGCAAGTGTGGTGTTAACTGCTCTTTGCGCCGGTCTGTTAACAAAGTATCCTCTGTAAAACATGCATCATGGCACTCCTCAGCTTAAAATTCTCTCCGTGGCATTTTATGGCCTTTAATATAAAACAGTACCATGCAGCCTATCAACATTGCATCTTGCCTTGGATTCCACGTTACCTGACTGCTGGTTAGCCTTCAAATGCCACTGGAAATACTTTGTCTAGCTTTCATGCAAGGTCTTCCCCCAGATTATTAATGTCCTTCCTCTTTCTCTCCCATCATCCTTTCTTGAGTATGAGTAGAAGTCATCTCCTCCACCAGGGGAGAAGTTCCCTAAGCATAGGGACCACACCTCTCATTTCTGGATCGGTAACAGACAGGCAGCACCAGGAAGGTGTCCAAATACTGGTGACTCAAAGATGAGCAAAACACAGTTCCTGCCCTGAAGTAGCATAATCTAGTTAACACAGTTACATAAATAAACTATAATCCACTGCACATGCCAGGACAGATGTGTGATCAAAATGTTACATAAACAGTTTTCGTCTCTACATCCATCATTTTATACATAGCACTAGTTACATTGCTAAATTTTTGCTTGACTCTCCCAGATACTGCAAGTTTGAAATAAAGGCTGGAAAGATAGAAGGGAAAATTTCTATTCATCTTTGAGTTGTCAGTGTCTTGTACAGAATCTGGCACATAAATATGCTTAAAACAGGGAAGGTCATCTCCCAGAACAAAAGGGGAAGGTGGTAATCCAAGCAGACATACAACATAAGAAAGGCATCATGTGGCCGAGCATTCTGGGGAAGGCTTTCTGACAAGCACAGCCGATTTTAGGAAGATGTTCGAAGTATACACAAAACCCAAGAATATTCTGCCACCTTTTTCTGTCCTGGGAGTCTCACCGTGAAGGTGCAGTTATCCTAGATCTCCTGTCTACTACTCATGAAACAGACTGACAAGTTCTGACCTGGGCAGGGAAGCTATAAATTCTCAAATAAGGCATCACTCAAGAGATGGTCACAAGGATGACACAAAACACAGCGTGAAGCTTTTATATTTTTCATTCGCAACAGACCAGCACAGCTCCAATTCAAGAACTGAGGATGAAAACATGATGGTTTCCCCTTATTTGGTAAGTGTTATCTATAAATTTCCTTAGCAGGGTTCAATAAGAGAAGTTTTAGAAAACCTGTTTCAGAAGGAAAAAAAAACAAGTCCAGTGATTTCATAACAGAACTGCACAGTTGACCACGGTACACTTCACATAACATGACCCGTGCTTCTTAGCTGGCAGAATCACGTCAGGCTTTCTTCCAAACTAAACCCATTAATGTGCATGGAAGACAAAGAATGCAGTAGAAATGGTTTGTACTTTTCATTTATAAAAATCTGCTTGTGGGGAGATACACATACAGAGCAAGCTCAACACTCATGCCCTTTCTCACTGTTACCTATTTGCCCTGTGTCTGTAGCCTGTAAGCCAGGACCAGGCCACTGCCAACTCAGCGGAAAGCAGCCTGGGCATCGCATGCAGGAGACGGACGTGCTCTGTCTACTCTGTGGAAGGCTTCAGAGTAGGCACCATGCGCTTGGTGTCTGTGGGCGTCGCATTGCTCCGCTCACAGCAGAGGCGGGAACACATCCTGCTACTAGTTGCATGTGAATAAATCGTCTAGAGTCCAAGGTGTATAATTTCTCAAACACAGATGAGCAAGGCATCTGTTCAGTGTGGTCTGAAACTGTAAAATAAAGGATGCTGACTAGAACTTTCCTTACATGAAGTGGGATGTGTGACTTTGCAGCCCATTATCCTTACACCAAGAAAAGAAAGCAAAAGAGAAGAGACTGTGGGTGTGGAACTTAGAAATGCCCTATATGGGAGGAAATGTCAAGAGAAAGATGTGACACAGATGGAAAATCTTAGCACAAAAAAACAGTTCAGGATTACAGTGAACCTCTAGGGACATGCAGCCATTTTAGTCTTTCTGGGTTTGCAAAAATCTACCGCAGTGAAGAGCTGACCAGGTTACAACTCTTTTCTCATAAAAAGTCAAACATACTTATATGGAAAATGTCCCATAAAATTTTAAGTCTGCTTATAAAATGGGTCAATAAGCAAAAATTCTTGACAATAATATTTACTCAAAAAAAAAAAAAAAAATTAGCCCAAATGCTATTCTTCTTTATACTCTTTGTAACCTAGGAACACATCTATGGTAAGGAAAGTTACAATATCAGACTTCATTTGCATATTGCTATTTGCATTGGTACAAATATTTACACCTAGGACATTAACATTTGCAATGCCTTTTTAAATTCAAATTTATTATGGCTCTTAAGGTGATTAGGCTCTTAAGGTGATTTATTATGGCTCTTGGGTGATTAGGCACCCAAGCTCTTTCTACACTGTGATAATGTTTTTAGAATTTTTTAAATATTTTATTCAACGTGGTACACATTTTAGTTTTCAATTTACAATTTTATGTATTTAGGCAGAATGAAGAGAAACTAATACTGGATCAAACCCCTAAACTCAAACACCTGGATAACCAAGTAAAATATCTTATGTGTGTCTGTATAGATATATGTATTTATTATTTGTAGTTACTACATGATGGCTCAAAACTGATTTGAAAGTCTGAAAAATGGGATAGCTGATTATCAATAAATTCAACAATTCTGCCATTTCTTCCACAGTTAAAAAAAAACAAAAAACAAAAAACAGGATTAAATGTACTAGAAGCATAGAACTTGTGTGACCACTTCTTTCTTTGGAATAAATCTGCTTCCTCTCTAAAAGCTAACAGCTAAGTGAAATCTGACTCATAGCAACTATGATGAACACCTACAAATACTGTATTGTACAGCTGGGCCATGAAGGTTGCACTCTGGAAAACACAAATGCTGAAGTTCATTTCCAAGCCCACTGCAACAGAAAAGACTTTAGAAAGGTCACTTGACAGCCAGGCATGGTGGCATACTCTCATAATCCCAGCTACATGGGAAGCTGATGCAGAAGGATCATGAGTTCAAGACTAGCCTAGGCAACCTACTGAGAGACAGCCTATCTCAAAAAGGGCTGAAGAGCTGGGTGTGGTGGTACATGCCTGTCTGTAATCCTAGCACTCAGGAGGCTGAGGCAGGAGGATTGCTACAAGTTCAAGGCCAGCCTGGGCTACATAGTAAGTTCAGGACCAGCCTGAACAACATAGCGAAACTCTGTCTCAAAAAAAACAACAAAAGAAAAGGGGGTGGGGGTGCAAGCTCAATGTGAAGGACTTGTGTCCAATCCTTGGTTTAAAAAAAAAAAAAAGAAAAGAAAAGGGGGAAAAAAAGAAAAGCAAAAAAGAAAGAAAGCCACTTGGATAACACAGCCAGTCTTACACCTCATGCTGCAAAAGTTGGTATGGTCCACCACAAATCTAAAACCAAAAAAAAATCAGAAAAGGATTTTCCAAGGAACATTTTAAGACACATCCAAAACTTGAAGTTTGGTTGTAGTCTTTGATGAAAAGATTATCATTCAGACATTTATTTTATACTCTTGTTTCTATGAAAACATTTAAGAAGATGGATTTTAATTTCTGTCCAACCTAGGCCTTCATCACCTGGTGCTCAGGGCTTCTTCAGAAGATGTATTATTTCATTCTGTGGCTGAGAGCCCAGTGCGATTTGTGTCTCTCTGGACGTGCTTGCTTTCCCAGACCATGACATTGCCTCTGGTCTTCACAACAGTCCTCTGAGGAGGACAGGAGAGGCAAAGCCACCCTGCTTCTCTGAGTGAGAAGAAGCAGGTGCCTTAGGAAGTGTCTCACTATTAATAAAGCTATGATGCTGGAACTAAATGCTGTCACAGGATGGATGACAGGAGGGGAAAAGGCTGCTACCTACTATCATACATGCTCACAAAAAATAAAAAGAGTTGCCAAGGGAAATGTATGTAATATTATATGGTAGTCAAGATTTTAAATGTAACCAATGAAACACTCATATCACTAGTTTTCCTACACAGCATATAAATAAACGTAGATGACAGTACTAGGCAAACTAAAACTCCATGATTGAGCCTTTTTATTGAATTCCTCCTTATGAGGACTGCTTTAAATCTAACAGAAGTGATTCATCATCCTCTACTCTCACCTGAGGTTTAAAAGTAACCTTTAAAGGTTCAGGGGTTGCACTCTCCCCTCCTTCTTGGGCCGTGTACCCTGCCCTGGCTTCCTCCTGCTCTGTTTCACTGAGCTCGTCGGTGTGGAGCTCTGGGATGGGGACTAGAGACGGGCTCCGGGCGATGATATCCACGCCCATCTCCCTGCCTGCTTCCTGACCTTCGGCCACAGTTCGGTCCTTAGCCTTCCTAAGGCTGCTCATCTTAAAAGCTTCCTTTGAGGGAGCAGCATTAGAAATAGATTTCTTCAATCTTTCCCCTGACTGCCGCAGCCTCTCCCCTGACTGCCGCAGCCTCTCCCCTGACTGTCTCAACCTCTCTCTCCTCTCAGGCGTCACTATTCTTGTTCTAATTCTGTTCACTTTGGTGTCAAAATTCTGCCTTGTCTTCTGCATGTTTTCTCTGGAAAATGCCTTTTTGATGTGATCAATGCGTTCCTTGCCTGACTTTCTAAACCTGGCAGATCTGCTTTCTTCAACGTAATATTCCTCGTCGGAAGACAGCTCTATCGGGGGATCAAAGACTTTTTCTTCTTCCTCCTGATTCTCGGTGAGGTTTCTGTCTTTGACAATAGACAGAGATGTCGGACATCGAAGCTCCTCCTAAAGAAAAGAAAAGCAGAGCGGGTGAGTGCTTTCTTTGCAGTATAGAACAGCTCCCGGACCTGCTGGCCACATCCTGCAAACTTCCTCCGTGGGGTGTTTATCCTTGCCTGCTCCTTACATGCTGGCGTTTCCCAGGGCTTCTTTCTCCTTGACCCTTCCCTCATGAACACTATTTACACCTCTCCACTTCTCCTAAGACAGAGACACACACAAATGATGGGCAAATTTCTCCACCTGGATGTAACAGGCACCGCAAACTCACCAAGTCCAAACATCACGGTGCCTTCATCATGCTCTCCACTTTTACTTCTTCTCCTGTGTCTCTCTGTACCAATAACCATCCAGGTGCTACACATACGGAACCCCAGAATCATCATCCCCAGTATTTCTTCTCCCTCTCATCCTACATTCAACTGGTCACCAAGCCCTGTAGATAATAACTGCTTAATAACTCACATGTTCGTTCCCCCCTCTTCTATCAGTATCTTAATTCAAGTTCTTGACATCTCAGGCCTGAACTTGTATAGTTACTATTTACTGATCCCTCCACTTCTAGAATATCACCTATGTACTTTTTGAGGAACATTACTGAAGCATAGCCCTGATTACATCTCTTTAAAACTTTTTAGAGATTCCTCCATATGGACAGCAGAGAATTCAAATTCTTGAGTATGCTCAGAATCTCTCCAGTCAGCCTGACTCATGTTCCCTCTTCACTAGCCCAGCAACACATATACTCTCAATTCCTCTAATATAAAATGTTTTCATTCCCCTGTAGACAGTTTCTGGTAGGTATCTTAAATGACCCTCCTCTTTTCAATTCCGAACAGCATCTTCCCTCAAGCATCACTTCATATGCCCCAAATTCCCCAGGGGGCTAATGTCTCCAATTTATACCAAAACAACATGTATGCACCACTGGAAGTTATTGCAGTTTGAATTGAACTGGAATTCTACTTATTTATATTTGTGTTCCTGGGGCCCTCGTGTGGTGTTAGGTTTCTCCAAGCTGAGAAAGTACTATGATTAATTATGATTTATTCCCAGCATGTATAGTAGGTATACTCTAATAAATTATTATTGGATTAAATAAAAAGCTTATGCCTTCAACCAAGAGTTAGGAAGCTGGCTACCCCCATACACTACTCAAACCATAGGAACTGAAAAACCTTATTAAAAAAGGTGAAAGAGATGATTTGTTTCTGGGGGAGACAGAGAGATAAATAAAGACGTAAAATATATAGATGGTTGCATGGCAATGAATGCTTAGGTGCAAAAAGCGGGACGGGGATATTCAGCACCAGGGAAGTACTATTTAGAAATACACTGGTCAGAAAGGCCTAATAAGGTGGCATCTTAGCCTGGACCTGAAGGTTGTGCAGGAAGAAAAGACAGATACTGAAGAGGGCAGTGTGGCTAAAACAGAGAGACCAAGGAGCCAGAGGAAGAAGGGTGAGAGAGACAACACATGGGCCATTTACAAAGGGCTCTGTGTCCAATCAAAAGGACAGTGGCTTATTCTGAGTACGACAGAAAGACTAAGATTTTGAGATGATCTGACACACACTGCATAAGGGCGATTCTGTGGGAAACAAGCTACAGGGGCCCGGAAGGTGAGAGCCTCCAGGATTTGCTGACAAGGAAGCCATGAACTGAGAGGAGGGTGGGAGCGGGAGGGAAACTCCCGGTGCAGAAAGACAAAATCTCATCATGGCTTTGAAATGCCCAGTGGACCCACAGCAGAGGGGTTGGGGAGGCTGAGCACGTGAGTGTGCTAGAGATAGAAATTTCAGAGTCATTAATGTAGAAATGGGACTGAAAGTCATGAGGCCGGAAGAAATCACGAAGAGATTCAACATTCCTTGGAGACAAGGTGTGTCTCAAAAATTCAAAACATTCTAGATTTTATAAAACTAATGTGATGCACTACATACATATGATCCCAGTGAGATCTTAGGAACAAACGTTTCTGCAGTAAAAAATACAAATATTTACACTGAGGTAGGAGAAAGACTACACATAGCCTCATGCTATTTCAGGTCAGGTCCTACCACCAAGTGACTTCAGGTCAAGCCAAGGCTTCTTACCAAGCTACCCTAAAGGTAACCTAAATAATTTTTGAAATATTCTGGATTTTAGGGTTAGTGATCATGGATTTGGGATTATTAAATAAGAAGAAAGGGACAAAAATGAGTAAGAAAAAGGAGAAGCATCAACCAGTACAGCATGAAAAAACCCAGAAGGGCACAAAACCCCTAGAGGCTGAGCAGAAAGCAGTTTCAAGGAGAGGAAAGATCCATCAGCTACGCCAGGTATCAAAAGATTAAGGATGACAGCTGGATGGGCAAAAACAACAGACATCAGTGGCCTTGAAGCCAGGCCAGACCATGGGTATAAAGGAAGCCAGCTTACTATTCATAGAATTATTTCTAAAACCAAACAAACAAAACTAGAGATCACGAGATTTCTAACTGATTCATGAATTAAAATTTCTAAAAGAACTGTTTCTACTTGAGATCCAGATTAGTCTATTCAATAATGTACAAGAAATACACTTACACACATTCTAAAATTTAATCAGCCTGGTAGTCAAGAAGGCATCCCCGGAACCTTATTTCTTTGGATACTTATTTAAAATTAAATTCTCTGGCTACAGAACTGGAGTGTCTGCGAGCTAAAAAAAGGCAGAGGTGGGTGTCTCATAACTCTCTGATGAATCAGTTAAGAGGCAGTAAAATTATTCCTCTCCTTTCCTGACACCTGCTGTAGGGAATAACTTCAGCAACACAGTGTGGGTTGGTCTGGCCTGAGAAGGTATAATTAGAAAAGGAAGGAGCCCAAAAGTAATTACTGCTTGGAAGAGAAAAACTCTCACAAGCTTGCAGTGAAGACATCAGATATAGTTTAACTCAGGAATCACACACCCTTCCCTTCCACTGTAAAACAAATAGTATAAAATCAGGCTAAAAAAAGTACAATAAAGCAGAGTCCAAAAAAGTACTTGCTTAGAGATCCACTGTTATAACTCTTATGAGTCAGCAATAAATGGTGAATATACTCTAATGATAACTGAAGATTATAGGGTTGAATTAGAGTTGATTCCTAAATATAATTACATTTGTACAAGTTCAGGTAAAAAATGTCGGTTTTGTAACAGAATGAATACAATGGAGAAGAGTAAATTGCACTTGACTGAATATCAAAGTAGTGTAGCTGGGGATTTTTAGACACATAGAAGTCTGAGACTCATCCTTAGGGCATGGTCAAATAGCTCATTTAGTAACCAGTCACTACTAGTTAATGACCAAAATTACAGGAAGACACAGTACAACTTGTGGCTCACATGACTGACAGAGAGGAATCATCAAGATGGAAGTGTGTTCAAAAAGAAACATAACTAGGGGCTGGGGAGTTAGCTCAGCGGCACAGCACCTGCCTGGCAAGCACAAGGTTGTGAGTTTGATTCCCGGTACCTGGAAAAAAAAAAAAAAGAAACATAACTGGGTAAGAAAATTTAATTATTTTTAAATGCCAGTATCCAGATTTGATAAACATTTAGCCACATACATCTATAGGAGATATAATACAGATAACGATTACAGCCAAAGCCGGGTGTGGTTGCATACGCCTGTACTCTCAGTACTTGGGAGGTTGAGGCAGGAGGACCATTGCAAGCTCAAGACCATCCTGGGCTACAAAATGAGCTCAAGGCCAGTCTGAATTGCATCACAAGACCCTGTCTCAAAAAGACAAAAAAAATTACAGCCAAAAGATATACTCAGGGAAACCTTTTTCAAGAAAAAACTCAAATAGAAATAAAAGTATGCTGTAAGTTAATATCTCAGTTTAAAGATAATTTTACTAGAAGGGGAAATTTCCACACAACCATGTATACAAATGCACTATAACAATTAATGACAACTAATTTTTTTTTTGGGGGGGGGGCGTTTCTGGTACCGGGAACCGAACTCACAACCTCGCACTTGCCAGGCAGGCGCTGAGCTAAATCCCTGGCCCCCAGTGATGACTAATTTTAAGTGCTAAGAATAACCATGTGAATTGTGTGAGTGTTCTAGTTCTCTGTCCACTGTTATATGTCTTTATCTTTTCTCAACATGCTTAACAAAATGTAACAATTGCTGCACTCCTCCCCACAATGTAATTTCACAGAATCACAGAATCTTTACAAGAAAAGAAATCTTTCTTACACTAGTACTTCTCCGTTTCTTTAACCACAGGGGCTTGAATATAGGAAAAATTACCAGTAAGTTACAGGGAGTAAAAAATGAATAAAGAAGCATTTTAACCTCCAAAACTTATATCAATGGGCAAATAGAACTTTCAGAAGTGTTTCTGCTGGAGCTTTTGTAAATCTTGACAGCCTGGCACAAAGGTCCTCAGGAACCACGCCGGATGCCGCTATGTTCCTGGCACACCACATGTAAATGGAGGCTGAAAAACATTCACTATTGCTAATGCACTTGGAAAATGAATCAAAGAATCAATACTATATTCTCCAATACCAAATCTAGATTCCCCACGGCATCCACTAACACTGGACTGGCCTCTGAAAGTATGGTGAGATTTTTAAGCCTGGAAAAGGGCCTTGAGGGACCTGGAAGGAAAGGGAAGTGGTAAAGGACTTCTAATGGGATACTTCATTCTGGCCATCACTGACATCAGCATCACTACTCTCTCCTCCCTATTCTTTTTTCTAAACAACTGCAAGCGCTTTAAAACAGATCCAAGATACCACTTTACCATACCAGTGTAACTCTGTCGGTCAGCAAAGACTATGGAGAATGACTAATGAGTAAAGAACACTCTGGGGGTTTATGGGTCACATCCTTAGGAGTTTACAGATATCTGCCTACATAATCCACCTGTTTTCTCATTTTATTTTTATTCCCCTAGGGTTTTTCCTATATGCACACAGGCATCCATTTTAAAAATACAGTTGTGATAACACTTTTAAATACAGTTGTGATAACACTTTATAACTTAGCTTGCACACATTCCTGATCTTATTTTTAGAACACAAAATTTTAGGGTAAGATTTGTGAATATTTAAGGTTTGCAACACACCAAACTACTCTTAGAAATGCACTAATTAATATTTCTACCAGCAAAACATGAAAATACTTCCTTTCTCTTAACTTTAAACTCTGAGTATACATTTGACTTCACATTTTGGTTTGCTCTGGATTTTTTATGATGGGAGGAGCGTTCAATTTTTTTCTTCTAATTTGTAAGAGTTTAAAAAATATATTGTAGATACGTATTTGCCATAGACATGTTCCTATTCTTAAAAATATGTGCACAGTGCTATAGGAACTTAGCTCAATATACAATGCCACATAAAAATGACTTGATTAAATCAGCTAAGTAAAAAGAATCTGCAATCAAACAAGGAACTATAACTTCTGCATTGGTATTGCCGTAATACTGTAACAATATTTTTAAAACCCCAAATTGTTCTTTAAAGAAATAGCTGTTATTATTGTGACTGATAAGTAAAAATTCCAATAAACAAATACTATTCTTAAAAGTTTACATTTTACTCCTTGGACTTTCCAGACTTTCTATAATAAAAGCGAACATTCTTATAAGTGTACTAGTTGCCAGTTTCTTCTGTTCTGCAGTTCTGGGGACTGAATCCAGGGCCTTAAGACATACTAAGGAAATAACCCTCCTAGTTTCTTCTTTTATGCAACCAAGGGGTGTTCTAAACTAGAGATTTCTTAGGTGTCTTCTAGGACTAACATTCTCAAAGTCCATGAGAGGACATCATGCATACTATTGAGGCTAATATGGTGAAAGAGCCTTACCAATATTAAGTTTCAAAGGCAAGAAATAGCCTTAGCATTAGCCACAGTTCATATTACATGACAGGGCTGAGAAGTTAAAAATACTGATACGACAGTATGTTAGTTAACGTAGAAATGGTTTTATCGTGAGGTCTCTGCTGATCCAGAACTCCACTACATTAATATATACAATGGCTAAGATGTGACATAGGAGACCTCTGACATGACACGCTGGCAATTAAAGGATCCAAGAGACTATAGCCATCAAGCTGAACATTAGTGCAAGCTTACCTGGAATATTACAACACGGAATTTGTTCTTCTTCATTATTTCCTCTTGTTTGGTTTCAACTTTTGTCACATGAACCTGTTGTTTCTCCACTCGGGCCTTCACATCTCTAATGTGAGCACTGACTTTTCGAGTTTTCTCAAAGAGCTTGTTAATGACATAGCTCGTGTTGCTGTGTGCTTGTGAAAGCTTCAACAGGTCAATCTGGACAGATTTGACGGCATTTTCCATTTCCCTGTGCCTCTCTTCTATTCTCTTCTGGCTTGCCTGCACACTGTCCACGATAGTGGCAACTTTGTCCAGCACCGTTACAATGGTAAGAGCAGCATCTTGGTCTTCATCTTCAGAGACACTCGACAGACGATTTTGGTGGATTTTATCAGCGTTTGAAGCAGACCCGTTATGCTCCATTTTATTTTTCAGTAAGAGATGTCCTACTGCAATCAATTCTGGCACTTGGAGCAAAAAACCAGCTTGATAACAGCAACAGAGCTGCTTAAAGGGTTGGAAACCCCACCCCTGGAGAATGGTCAAATATTTATAACTACAAATGCCCATACGCGACTGTTCTGCAATATGAGCCCTTGCAACGCATGGGGGACTGTTCCAAACATGCTTGCTGATTGACTAAGGGACTCAAAAAAGACTGTGTGGGTAGCAGATGAAAGCTTTTTTAAAAAGTTCACTGAAGCTGCCATGTTACTAATATTAAGGCTAGCAGCCAAGTAACAAAAAGGCAAATTCCAACTACTGGGTAAAGCTTTTGTCTTTCAATAATTTCAAGCAGTATTTGTAAAAGCAGAGGGGAATTTGGAAGTGAAATCTGCTTTTTCTATTAAATTCATCTATTATAAATACTGATACATCAATATTAAAGAATAGAGTAAATAACCACACCAAAACAGGCCATGTAGTGAAAACATTATATTGTAACATGCTTTTCCAAACCAAATGTTAAAATTAATATTTAATTTTGAACATATTTGGTAAATTCTACATGCATACTTTTGAGTACCTAAACTACACATTAAACAGCTCAGTACATTCTACTCACACTTCAGACCTTTAAACACCAACAGTCTATTAATATAGCTATTATTACAAGACAAATTCAGATAGAGGTCTTAGGTTATTTTTAAGCTCACTTTAAGAGCACCAATCATTAACAATTTTTGCATTGTATTCACAAACACTAATACAATTTGCTTATTTATGTTAAAACAAATATTTTGTTTAAAAATGAATGTGTATTAAAGTAGTGTAACTGATAGAAGGCCTTTATTCCAATTCATTTGTTAAAAAGCCTATTTTGACAATATCTAAATCTATTTTTCAGTGATCTGTTTCATCTAGTGGTTTTTTTTTAAATTATCAGAATTATTTTTTCAAAGAGGAACGAATAATGAAATTCCAGTCCATACATTTTATAAATATTTTACATCTAACACACACAACTTTAAAGTCCATGAGGTAGGCAGTGTCTAAAAAAATCAGATACCAAATCTCAAAAACATTTAAATATCTATTTAAACACAGTGTCTTCTAGTTTTGTTTTTTCTTTTTTGTAAGAAAAGTAATCTGTAAACATCTTTACCTTTAGTTCATGCTTGGTCATTTGCTGTGGTCACTGTGGAACGAGTATGACTTTATTACCATTTGTGAGTGGGTCCATTTTTGCAAAAATATTACATTCCATGGGTAAAGAACACAGCTTAGAATTACCATGTGGTACAAATTTGTGAAATCAATTTCTGTATTTAAAATCATAAAACAAAGACTACTAAACAGTCCAAAACTGTTGTAGTTGAATATTCTAAATACGAGCCAACAGTACTACACTAAAAATGTCCAAAAATAAGGCCTCTGAAATAAATATTTTCATTCTTTAAAAAAAGACATAATAAATGTATATCACATGGTCAGTGTACATATAAAAGTCATCAGTTTAAACCATTCTAGATGATGTATCTGAAGTAAAATGACCTAGGTTTTGCTTCTGTCGACGTCCTCTATTGTTTTTGGGACATTTTCTGTTGCATTAAAAAAAGAAGAAAAGAGAAAGATTATTTTGTTATGAATATTTCAAATGTTTCCAAATTAATGCACATTTCACACATAAAGCCACACGGAATGCAATTACATGAAGCTATTTGGTGCAAGACATGGTGAAGGCAAATACAAAACACCTTCCCTACAAAGCTGGGTGTTCGTGTCAGACTCTCAAATTCCCTGGACCTTCTTTATCCTCTTTATGGAAAGCTACTACTGGCTCCTCCTGGTGGAAAGCTTTGTTGGCTATATTCACAATTATCCTGTTGATTTTATTATTTGGTCCATGCATACTTAATTATTTCTGTGGCCACGTCTCCTCCAGACTTAAAGCTGTACACCTCCCCAAGATAAGAACACCTGGGCGCCTATGGAGGGCCTTCAGATAGACCCCTTGTGGAGTATCTCTGACTGCCAATCTCAACCCTCTTCAGCTGGAAGTAGTCAAATCGGTCTTTGACCCTTGCCGCTCACAGCAGGTGAGGGGTAAATTTTAAGAGGGGAGTACTTCTTTTTTACCTAATTTAGCTATAGACAGCTGATAGGGTTATTTTAAATTATCAGAATTATTTTTTCAAAGAGAGGAATAATGAAATTCCAGCCCATACATTTACCTTTAGTTCATGCTTGGTCATTTGGGTTTTCTATCTAGTTTAGCTATGGACAGCTAAATTAGGTAGAAATACTGTAAGCAGTCAGACAAGGCTGGGCCCTCTAGAGGTCAATGCAGAAGACAATTGTGGTGGCAGGCATATTCACTGAAGGGCAGGCTTCAAGAAAAACAAAAACTATTCACCCCTGTACTTCCCTTAGGGATGACAGCAGTGACTGATACGCTAAATAGGCATCAATCACCTTGGGATAGAGGGTCTAACCTCCTTAACCCACCCCTTCCAGGAAAGTCCTTGTCCATCCTACCTGCACTTATTATGTGACCTGCTTCCCAATTTGATCCCCATTTAATCAATATTACCCAAGCAACTATCCTTGTTATAATCTTATTGGTTGACCATAGTTTTGTCCCACGTAATACCCACCTTATGATTTCCCAGTGGATCAATATACCTCAGCGACTATACTTGTAATCTAATTGATTGATTATAGTTCTGTCCCTCCTTGAACCCACCTCACCTCCTGGCTTTACTCAATAAAACACCCTTGAGAAGCAGTGTTGATGGGCAACCCACTTTCCAGGACCCCTTCTGTCTCTCCTAGACAACTTTCTTTCCTTCAATAAATTCTCCCTACTCTTAAAAGAAAAGCTGGATATCAGAAGAGTAGACATACACATGACTAGAAACAGACTCATCGACTAGAAACAGACCCACTGGAGCAATTGTCAGTCTATGCTGCTGCGTGTACCTCCCAGATAGGGATACCCACCCCTCTTCCAGCCTGGCAACTCCCCAGCCACAGTGACTGCTAACACATGACTGTTGTCAAAAGTACGGTGACCTATTTACTTTCCCTGAGCATTATGACATCCCCAAAAGGACAAGAAAAGCTTAAATAAAGAGAAAAAAAATCAGGCAGAAAAGTTCATGTTAGCCTGACATATGAACAGGCAAGGATGCCTACTGATTTTAGACAATGACTCAAAAGGAGTTGTTCCATACTCTACTGGAACGGGGCCCTGAGGACAAGAGATAATTCTTGCTTCTGCTCTCAATTAATCATAACGTTTCTCCATGGAAAGAATTTCATGGTGATGTAAGCACTCTTGTGCCCGCTGCCCAGACTGCAAACAGCTCTTGCTGTGTTATGAAAAGTACTATAAAAGGGCTAAGAGGAATTCTGGTAATTCTGGGATTGGGCTCTGCTAATGTGTGTAACCTTAATTTCCCTATACGTAAAATATTATATTAGGAATTGAACTAATCTCTGATTATAAAGGCATTTATAAGCTAATGGATAGAAAGTTATACAATGAGTATTCCTATTCTGATGGTCTACATTTTTATTCTATTTCAAATATTGTTTTGCCTTGACTTAAAAGCCTTGATAATAATAATACTTCTATTTTGTGTAAGGTTTTCTAAACACTCCCTCAGTAATCCTCATAAAAATACTTTGAGGTAGACAGAGCTGCAGTCATCTCCATTTCATTCAGAAGAAGACTGGTTGAGAGGGCAAGCACTCTATTTAACCATCACTAACTCACGATGACCTTGGAAAAGTTCTAGCTTCCTGGTATCATTGTCTTTTTCACATATAAAATAAGAGGGTTTGGCTAAAATATTCAAAGTCCTTACCAATCTGTCCTTAAGTCTAAAAACATACAAGAAGATTTTAACCACAAAAGAAGAGAACACAACTCATGCAGTCTTGATAAGCAGGTCAGTGAAAACATCCTTTTAAAGGAAGATTCCTCCTAAGCAACACCAACCAGGAGATACATGAACAGCTGCCCCGTAATGGACTGTGTGCAAGAAGTACTCCTTAAATATTCACTGTAGCTAAGTCCATAATATCATAATATTCCAAATCCAATACAGCAAGATTTGGGGGGACACTACAGAAAAAGGCCTCAAGGGGAAATCTGTGATAAACACAGTATGGTAACCCTTCAGTCACAGAGATACTGGACAGTGAAGACACTGTCACTGTGTTCTCCAAGTGTCTGTGAAGGCAGCAATGGAGGTGAATTAGAAAGTCAAGGAAGGGTACTGATTTAATATCTGCCATATAATTTTAATTTTTAAAGCAGATAATACAGCCCACGGAGAACAAAAGCACAGAGTGGGTAAAAGCCTGGGTTAGGGGTTAGACAAGGGCTTAACTAGTTCTATGATCTCAGGCAAGGTTTCAGTTTCCTCAATTCTTAAAGGAGAAGAGGAATTCAGAGGTGCTTCCCAGTGCCTCTAACAGCCTTTGATTCTCTAGGATAGCACTATCACTGGCCTCAAAATTTTCCCTTTTATCTACTTTTATTTTTGGCCTTCCAAATCATTTATTACACCACTCTTGTATTATTCTAATAACGTTCCAAAATGGTCTCTCCCTATCACACATTTTCCCTACTCCAGTAAATTTTGCAAGGGACCCTTTGAATAATGCTCAGGAAAAATGGTTTGTACCAAGCCCCTCCTCCCCTGCTCAAAAGTCTCAAATTCTTACCCTAAAATCAATTTTGAACCCTGCTCCCATGCAATGGTCACACCTGGTGCCCTCCTCCTGATGGCTCAGAGGGAAGAGGAATGATTCATGAATCAGACAGCACTCTATCCTAACCAGGCACTCTTAGCAGTTATTGGATGGCCACAGACAAACTAGTTCATCTCTGAGCCTATATTAAATGGCTATAGCCAGCCCTGCTACTGAATGGGGGTTTTTCTTCCTAGCTTCTCTTTCTCTTGTCATTATTTGTTATATCATTATGTCCCTTCTTTGATCTATTGACCATTTTTACACCAGCAGTCTTGCCTGAGGGCAGATCATCTGTTCTGTGGAATAAAGCACACTGACTTTAGTGCCTGAAATTAACAAAAAATATCTTTTACTCAGAGAACATTTTTTTATCATTTCTACATTTATCAGTTCAGCTCCAGATGGCTGAGACTACTAAAGGTCTGGCACCTATCCAGACCTTAGAAGGGCCATAAATCCAATATGGCCTGTCATTGTATGTATTTAATATGCTCCAATCTGCCCAGGAAAATGCAGGAAACTATAAAGATGATGTTTATGGAACATCTGAACCAAACCCTAAAAGATATAGGAAGAGGTGAGCAAGAAGAAAAGATAGGACTGGCTGAGAACTCGCACAAGGACGTTTGCTTTGACTTTTCTCAAATCCAGTTTAGTCTGACTCAATTTGGAAAACATTTATTCCATGCCAGTTGTGCTCCAAATGAGTCCTTCATGATGAATGAATTTTACTTATGATATAGAACTTTAAAGCCTATTACTTAACACTGTAACTCAGAGTATGAAGTAAAGTTAAGACAATGATGTAATATGAAAAGTAGTTATCTTTGACTCTGGATTTTTTTTTCCCTTCTTATTATATTTACCACAGAAAAATATTTCTCAGGGTAGAATGCAGGGATCAAAGTGTAGTTCTGCAGGGCTCAAAACACTCTTACATGGCTCTTCTGTACATGAGCAGATCATCTACAATCTCTGCTACTACCATTATTGTTCCTGAATATAGTGCTCACAGTACACAATTCCAAGATCCCTAAATTCCTTTAGTTCATTGACTGTTATCATACACTCCCTTTGCCTGTAATCCAGATATGCTAAGCCCTGGGAAGGAGTACTTATCTATATTTTAACAAAGCAAGACAAAGCAAGGTCAGACCCAAAAAGAAATCTCAGGGAAGTAACTCTAGGATTTTTCCTAATAGGCTGGTGGTTTTAAAACCTCTATCATTTTGAGGGTGCTCCAAGGTTTGTCTCTAGCATAACTGCTACCTATTCTAGTTTAAATTGATACTTCTTATATTATTATTTACCTTGTTATGCACATGACAATTGCTACTATAATGGCGATCTGCACAGCTCCAATAATGGCTGCAATAAGAACATGAGTAAGTTTCTGCCTACTTGGCACTACATAGAGAATACTAAAGTCTGTCTTTTCACAGTGCTGTCCAGTGTAACCAGATTCGCATCTGAAAAAGAAAAAAAAAAGGAATTTCTATAGGAATTACAAAATTTTACACTGAAGGTTTCTAAGTTAAAAGATATCAAAGAATGAAAAAATTTAAACAGGAACAGAAAACAGATCACTTTTCTAGCACCTGAAAAAACACGTCATTTGTGTATTTTCCTAATCTTCTTGATGCCTATGTTACATGGTGCTTCTTTTAATTATGCTAAAACACATGAATTTTAAAGTTGCTAAATAAGTCTTTGTCATCATCATTTAAAAATAGAACCACAACATTCTATCCAGAAACTATAATATGGCTAACTTATCTGTTCCGCATTCTAAGATATTATCAGCAGTTTTCAATTTTCACAATATAAACTAGTTGTGATAAACATCTTACACATGTGCACTTTTCCACACTGTTATTCTGTAGGTTTAGATGCCTGGAAATTGGATTACTGAATAATAAACAAGTGCAAACATTTACTATTCTATGAACACACCATCAAATTATATTCATGACACTTTTCAGTGTACAAAGAACAAACATTTACGAAGCAGAGAGAAGACGAAAATAAGTTATTAATAACAAACAGAGTGAAGTAGTCAAGTGAGTGTTAACCTTAGAAATTTCTGAATTTCAATTAAAAGTAAATACAAAGGCAATATTCTCAGCTGAGGATAATAACTTGACAGAAGGAAACATTTAAGATATTTAACAGAAAATTCATATTTTAAGCCAGCAGAAGTGAAATGTATAAATTAGCCAGGCTTCACTTGGAAGTGATTAGCAAAACATGCGAAGTGTAAGGACAATGTGTATACTTATTAATGTATCACAAAGGATTTGAAGCTTATCATAAAGCACACATAACAACAACAGACAGGAAACCTGGATAAAGGGAAATCAGGAAAGCCATGGCAATCTGAGTTTACCTGCCAATCCCCACAGTGCCTGGACAGTTGTCAGCAGGTTTCACATTGGGCTCTAAGCTTCCCAACAGACAAAACAAGTAGTAAGGCAGATACAGAGGTCATAGCATAGAATTGAGAGCCTAGAAATAAGCCATATCTCCATGGTCAACAGATTTTTAAGAAGGGTGCTAAGATAGTTCAATGGAGAAAGAATAATCTCTTCAACAAATGATCCTGGGATAACTGGATACCACAGATAAAAGGAAGAAGCTGAATCTCCTCACAATATACATAAAACCTGACTGAAAATGGATCACCGATCTAAATGTAAGAGCTATAGCTCTCAAACTCTTGGAAAAAACATAGCCATAAATCTTTGTGACCTTAGAATGGGCAATAATTTCTTAGCTATGACACCAAATGCAACAATAACTGTAACAACAGAGATAAACTGGACAAAATCAAAATTACGATCTTTTGTACCTATCAAGAAACCCAAAACCCACCAAATAAATGAAACAGTATGCAAATTATATATCTGATAAGGGATATGTACCAAGAACATGTAAAGAACTAATAATAAAAAGACCAAAACAATCGCCAATTAAGAAACGGGCAAAGAATCTACACAGACATTTCACCAATAAGCACTGAAAAGACACTTAAGTAGCTAATACAGAGTCATCAGTCACTGTGGAGATGCAAAGCACACTACAATCAGATACCATCTCACACTTATAGTACGGCAGAGTCAAATGATTACAAATGTGAGTGATGGTACTATAGGGAATGTAAAATGGTACAACTACTTTGGAAAACACTCTGGCATTCTCAACAAGTTAATCCTTGAGTTACCATTTGGTCCAGCAATTCTCCTAGGAATTTACCCAAGTGTAAAACCTATGTCCACACAAAAGTTTGACATGATTAATAATGGCCCAAAAAGTATACACATTTCAAATGTTCTTCAACTGATGAGTGTTGTCTACTATCCACACTTCAGACTATTGTTCAGCCATAAAAAGGAACAAAGTACCTTAAAACATACATACTAATATGCATAAACCTTAAAAACACTATGCAAACTGAAAGAAGTCAGACACAAAAGACCACATATATTTATTCATGTAAAATGTCCAGGGTAAGTAAATCTATTTAAAGACAGGAAATAGCTTAGTGCCTGGCTGCCTAGCGCTGAAGTTAACAGGAAGACATGGGAATAATAGGTAAAGGGTATGGAATTTCTTCTCAAGGTGATGAAAATGTTTTAAAATTGACTCTGTTGGTAGTTGCATAACTCTGAATATACTAAAAACTGCTAGCTGGGAGGAAGGATAGAAGGGAGGGAAGGAGGAAAGAAGTGAAGGAGGAAAACAGGGAAGAAGGAAGAGTAGGAGGGAAAAAGGAAAGAAGGTCAATCAAAGGCAAACAAAACAATTGCCCATAGAAGGAAATGTACCTTAGGGGATGCAGAGTGCTTCCCTAGCAGGTGGAATGCTCTAGATTCAATCCCCAGTACCACTACCACCTCCCAAAAAACAGCAATCTCCATGAAATAAAACCAAACAAATCATTTCCAAGAAGCACAATTTCTATTGTTATTAAACTCAAGGGAATTTGACCCCATTGGTTCTCATTTAAAGAGGGTACCTTCTAATGTAGAGAGTAATATCCTCAATAACACTGCTGTAATAAATTCAATAATATAATGAAGTCTCAAAGGACTTTTAAAATAATGTCCTTCATAGTAGGCTAATGGCCAAAAGTCAAAGCTTAGTAAAATCAAAATAGTCCCACAGAGAGTAATAACAGTGTCCTAGATCTGCAGTTCTTGGACAGTTTGGCTTAATCCAAAGATTAAAATCAGAATATAGAAAGCATCTTTCAGCCATATATTATTCAAGTAATCCTTCCTGGATATTATTTTCTGCAACTGACTTTCGGTCATACTCTCCAAATATCTAGAGTATTAAGTTGCTATTTCTTTTTCTGTTATTAAAGGCAGATCTGGGGTTTCAGTTCACTATCCTCCATTTTTACCCTATGTCCTCCATGGGTCATCTCCTTTACTTCCTGGTCTTGTGTGCTGATTCATACTCATCCATTTAACGCATTTACTGAGCATGTGTTATGTGTTAGGTACTACTATAGTATTTGGGATATGTTAGCTAAAGATTCCTGTCCTGTTGACCCTCTAAGAACAGGAAGGGATCAATAAACGTAATATGTAAACTAAAGAGTTATGTTAAAAGGTGGTGTGGTGTGTGCATGCATGCGTGCACGCATGCACGTGTGTGTGTGTGTGTGTGTGTAAAAGAGAGGAAGAAAGAGAGGGGTATATGTGCATATGTGGGGAAGGGTATGTGTGCAAAGGGAACCCTTGAGTGCCATGTATTGGCCGGAAAAACAGGACTGCAATTTTTAAATAAGTGGTCAGCATAGGCTATATGAGGCTAAGGTGTACTGTATTGGCACAGTGCTTGCTTAGCAAGTATGAGGTTTTGGGGTTTTATTCCCAGCACCACAAATACGTATTTTTTAAAAAGAAGGAGGCATGGGGGCTGGGGATTTAGCTCAGCGGCAAAGCGCCTGCCTGGCAAGCGCAAGGTTGTGAGTCCGGTTCCTGGTACCGGAGAAAAACCAAAAAAAAAAAAAAAAAAAAAAAAAAAAAAAAAAGAAGGAGGCATGTAAGTGAAAACATGAAGGAAGAGAGGATGTCTGCCATGCAGAAAACTAATAGGAGAGCATACCAAGCAAAGGAAGAGAGAAGCTTCCAAGCAGAGGAGCATCGTAAATGCTCTATCCAAGAATAGGCAGTATGGCTGGAGTGGAGGGGGCAAGGCAGACCAGGGCAAGACAGGAAAAAGAGCCAAACTTCATAGGGCCTTCTGCATTTAGTGATAAGGAGGAGCCACTGAACAGTTTCAGGAGAAAACAATATGAACTGGTTTTTATTTTCAAAGCCTTACTCTGGCTACTGTGCTCAATATGATCTACTGGATACCATCAAGGAGGCCGCTGCAATAATCCCAAGAAGAAAATGTTGGCATGGACTAGGAAGAGCAGTGGACTAGGAGGGAGTGGTGAGGCGTAAGCAACTTCTGGACACATTCTGAAGAAAGCGCCAATAGATTTCCTACAGCTAACTAGATATGGGGTATATACAAGAAGATGACAGTATCTTGGTGTTTTGTCTGAGCACCTCAATAGATGGAGCTGGCATCAACTGAGATGGAAAGGTCACCGACAAAGCAGATTTAGGGAGAGAAATCAATCAGGAGATCAGCTTCAGTCCTATTGAGACTAAGGTGTCAGGTACCCACTAGAAGTATAAAGGAGGAAGACAGATCTGAGTCTCAAATTCAGGAGGGACGACTAAGATTTATATAAGTCAGGAGCCATCAGCACGTGTCATGTGAAGCCCTATGACTAGGTGGAATCACTAAGGAAAACCACTAGACCTGTTGCACTGCAACTTGGAAGGGCTAAGAAGCACAAGAGGAAGCAGATGAGAAGACCAGAAGGTCAGCAAGAGAGGAGAAGCCAAGAGAGTAACCCCAGAAATCAAGCAAAGAGTGCATACTGCACAGAACAGAGGGATAAATCAGCATGCTGGCACATGTCTGTAATTCCAGCTCTCTGGGAGGCTGAGACAGGAGGATCCTGAGTTCCAGCAACCTAGCAAGATCCTGTCTCAAAATATAAAAGGATAGGGATGTAGCTCAGCGCCGAGGCCCTGAATTAAATTGTCAGGGCCACATTAATTAATCAATTAATTAATTAAAAGGGGGTGATGGATTGTGCCAGGTGCCACTGACTATTCAAAACTAATTTAGGACTAAGAATAGACGAATTCCTTTAGCAATGAGAATAGCCTCAGTGGAATGTCATGAACAAAAGCTTACTGAATGGGTTCAAGAGAGATGGGAATGAAAACGAGGAATATACTACAGAAAACTCTTTCAAGAAGCTGTACAAAAGAAAGAAATGACTTAGCAGCTCCCAAAAATGAGAATAAGGAGTTTTTTTCAAGATGGAAGAAATAATAGTTATAAATATATGTAAAATATGTTTCTATCAAGACACGATATAGAGGAAAAGGGAGGGAACTGTTGGCTGATAATAGTGACAGTCTGTGGAAGCTCTCTTCGTACCGCTTCAGTTTCCTCAGAGAACTTGAGAGTAGGACCATCGATCTAGAGTGAGGGCAAGAAAGGAGGCACTGATGATCTGTGGAGAGAAGTTAGGGCATACAGCGGCAGGCTGGGAGAACGACTGTCATGGAACTGCCTGGAAGCACGAAGGGTCACTCTGAGGCTTCCGGACACACAAGCGAGCGAGTCAAGTGCACCTAGAGGTGTGTTTTTGACAGCAGCTTCGTTCAGGCTGTGTGGGTATCACTATGACGGGGGAGAGAAGCTGAGATGAACTAGGGCTGGTTGTCGAGTGTAATGAAGCAAGGAAGGGACAGAGGCCTTCGTAAGCAGTCAACTACAGTGAAGGACCACAACAACATCCAGGGGATGACGGACACTGGAAAGGTGACAGGTCAGTATAGTAAAGTCCTACTGGCAAGGAAGGATTGCTAGGAAGAAAATAGAGGGGATTGCTGAAGGTGAAATTAGTCACAAGTATACATCTTCCACCTGTATCTCACCCGGATTTTTGTTTCTGTTTTGTTTTGTGGTGATGAGGATAGAACTCAGGGCCACAGGCACACGAGGCAAGCACTGTCACGGAGTTATACCCCCAGCCCTTCCATGAGCTACGAAACCAAAATAAATCCAACAGGCTACTAGATGTCATCCATAGTGGACATCCCAATGACAGCTTAAGACCAAGCATGTTAAACTGACCATTTTCCCCCAGACCTCCTCACTCTTCCCAATCTATTTCTTACTCAATTTGGCCCCAGCCAGAAGCCTGTGACTCTCATGACTCTTCATCCCATTCCCTTCCACTAACCCCCAGCTGGTTACCAATATCTGCCAATTCAACTATTTATTGTATTTCTATAACCCACCTACTTATCTCAGGCCCAGGACAACTCTATTATTTAATTCACGCTCTCACCTTTTATTAAGTCTAACTCTCAGTTTTCTAATGCATTTTCCACAATTCCATCTGACTGCTATTCAGATCTGATCATGTTACTGCTACGTAAAGTACTGTAATTGGTTCTCACTGCCTTTCCAAACAAAGGCCACATTTGTGGGATAGCAAAAATATTCCTCTTAGATGTGACCCCTCCTCCAACAACATTCCCCATTCCCTTTCAGGTTGACGTATCTATTCTGAAGTCCCAAATCATCTCACATATACCTATGTATGGTAACATTTTTCATGAATTTTATTTGTCATTTGTCAGTCTCTTCCACCGAGCTATGTTTTTGAAAGGTGAGCTCTCTGGATCCTTGTCATATTTATCGACCAGTGCCAGGTAGAATTTGGTAAAGTTTGCAATAAATAAACAAAACAATGGTGGGATAATGCTAGAAGATTTTAATAAAATAATAGGACTGCACTTGAAGGTTGTTCATCACTGGTTGTTTACAGCAGGCATGTTATAGTTCAGCCTGACTCTTACTGATTCTATAAATACTCAGAAAAAGAAAGGGACTAGCTGCTTTTTAAGAGTTATAAGCAGGTTAAAAAAAAGAGAGATAGAGATTCTTTAGTATTTAAGAAAATCTTCTGGTCTGTCTAAGGCAGTTCATAATCACTGTATGCCATTCCAAAAAATAACTGCTAAGTATTGGGCTAGGTCCTATTAACCACTCAGCAGTCTAATTATTTAAATACAGGATGACCAAAACTTGTATTTTTTGTTAATTTTATAAGATAATATACTAACAGTAAATATAAAAATGATGATTTTATCAAATTTATTCAATACAAGAATCAACTAGTTGAAATGACACCTGCCTGAGATGCTCTGACTAGTCAGCAGGTAAACAAATATGCTGCCAGAGTGAACTTGGGGTAAACTTAAGTGGTTAAGAAGACAGTGATTAGCAAAACAAAGAAGCACTGATGTAATGGGCTTACAGTCTAATAATGCCAATTGTTATTTATTAAATACCAGATACTGATCACTAAGCACTTTATATGTACAATCTCATTTAAACTACACTATGAGATAATTGCTATTACCATTACAATTTTAGAAATGAGGAAAATGTGGCAATTTAAGACAATGTAGACAAGTTAATGATCTTCCAAAGGAAGACAATTTAAGTATCTTTCAAAGGACATATAGCCAATAATAGGCCAACTCAGTGAATGTGATCCCAAAGCCTTTAACCACAATGCTGTTCAATCTTCTTATTGTCAGTTAGTAAAATAGCATACAGTGGCCTGGTATCATCGTTATCAGAACATCATTCTCTCTCATCCTTCATGTGGGTATCTTGAAAAATGCCCCATCCTGAGGCCAACAGAATCTGAGCTTCTATCAAGATATCTATGCCACAGTAAGACAAACAAGAGGAATTCACTGTAAGACTTGTTTTCAAACCTGGTCTGCTGTCTTATACAGGTATATTTTTTAAATCTTCAGGCAAAAATGGTAGGAGTAGACTAGCTCCTTCAAAGATGAGAGCTTTTCATCAAGAAAAAGCCAAAGGCTTAATTAACAAAAATCTATTCAATCATGTTTATAATATTTTGTTTGGGGTTTTGTTTTGTTTGCACCACTGGGCATTGAATCCAGGGCCTGCACACTGAACTATATCCCAATCCATTTTATACTTTTTATTTTGCAACAGTCTTGCTAAACCACTAAATTGCCAGGGCTGGAAGTGAGCTTGCAATTCTCCTGCCTCAGCCTCAGTGCTGGCCTTATAGGAATGTGCTACCATGCAGACCTGTTTTTAAGCAAGAGTAAAGGGGGAAATAAAAATCAAGAGTAGAAAACCAAAGGCTGATGTCCAACAGTTTCCTTTTTCTTTTGACCATTTTCTGGGTTGATAGAAACAAAAGGAAAGTATAATGTTTCTCCATGCTTCCATGTTTTGACTGAGAGGAAAAAGGATTCTGCCTTAGCTCCCAAAAGCAGAAGCCAAAAGAATGACAGAATCTTCCCTTGTCTATGGAAACATAACCTGGCTAACCAGACCAACTGCAATACAGGATGAACTCCTGGCACTAGCAGCAAGAAGAAAGAATAGCAAAAAGCAGTAAGAACATTAGGCTAAGTATCAGGAAATGTGAGACCAATTTCTTTCCCAGCTCAAATACATTTCCTGTTGACCTTGGAGAAGTTATGTAACGTCTCCGGAATCTGGGAGTTGAGGATTTACACCCTTTCCAACTCTTAACTCACACCTGGTTCTTTATCCTCACTCCCTTATTTTTAGAAATCTATTTTAGTATATATTTTGAGTTACATATTTTTTATTCTTAATATATTTTTCAGTCCCTTAATCACCTTTCACAGACTGCCTAAAACACCAAAATAGTGTTGGAATATGGTATACTATTTTATATTAAAAATATGTAACATTATCATTAAAATGTTAAGCCCATAATCTCAAAACCCTAATAAAACATGTTTTTGCATACTTCTTACCAGGTTTAGAGGAAGAGTTTTTTTAAATGATGATCTTGATTAATTTTTCACTTGCCTGTTACAGATAAATACTACTTTTTGGTAACCTTAGCCCACATTTCACTGCCTTCTATAAAACAGTGACCACTGATGGAAAAAAATTCTCACCACTGATCTGGAGGCACTGACTTACCTACAAGAAGCCTTCTGAGTAGAATAGATGAATTCACATTTCCCATGGATGCAGAAACCATTGAGGTTTTCAGGGCAAGGCATGTGGTTTCCAATATAAACATCTTCTCTTTGATCACTAGCATCTTAAAAGAACATAAACCAGGTCACTGAATAGTAAAAAACAAACTAAAAAATATCACAGGCTTTCCAAAGTTCTGAAACAGTGAATAAACTGACCCCTTGTCAACCACCTGCAGAGCAATTTGGAAAGGAGACTTATCAAATGGGGGATGGATAAGAGCCAAGGTTCCCTCCAAATTCCTATTATGCCATAAACACACCAGGAGACTATTTGGATTCAAAGCATTTAAAACTATTTGCAGGATGTGACCACTATGAGCCACTGTTTTATAAAAACAATGTGCCAAAGAAAATTACCAAAATTACCTTTCATAAAAAAAAAAAAAAAAAAAAAAAAAAATGCTAGCTCTAGAAAAAAATTGTCTCTGTGACAAAGATATATTGTATACAGCGCTGGTTTTAGCAGAGTGAACTTACTCATATCTAGGGCCTATGAAACTGAGGCCAAAACGCACTGAAACAACAGAGAGCGAGTTACAGGGTTTTAAAAGTTTAGGGTAAAGGCTTATTCTTAAAGTGAAAACAATCAAGTGTATTGATTTTTTTCCAATGAAAATAGGTTTGCTTTTTTTAATATAGTTTTTCTCAGGTGTTCCTTGTTTTAAAAAAATTCAAACATAAGAAAACAAATAATGAAATTTAAAATCATCTGAGAGCCCTCTATCCAAAGAGAACCACCATAAACATGTTTGTTGACCATCTGTTAAGATATGGGTATAATGATTTGGACCAAATTTAGCCGAAGTGAAAAAAATGGGAAGTGTGGTGAGTACTACCACTGTTGGAAAAGGGACAGAATCAGGAAGGAGAAAGAATGGGGCAGAAAAGACAGAGATGGAGGCCCAGCACTCAAACTCAGCTAATAGTCATCCCCCAACACATACATATACACAAATTTAGAAATGGATTTTTGCACCTCTTTTTTTCACATATACACCAATAACTAATGCTGTACTCCAAGGACCCAGAATTCTCCAAGGGTCTGTTTACAGAAAAACAGAAAAGTCCCCAGGTTTCCTGATGCTTCTATCTTACAGTTCAAACTTACAGATAACTATGTGTGTCAGCTGTGCAACTGGCCATTCTACCCTCAAACCTGACTGCAAATCAGGATCATAGGTCTATATTTCACACTGTTTTGAAAGGATTACTGAATATCTAATGTATGTACAATACTGCTAAAATAACCTTCTGTCTATATGACAAATCACATAACAGCAAAAGCCTTATCTGCCCAAAATATCAATAAAGGTGTCAGCAAAATCTGGAGACTGCTAAATATAAACAAATTAAAAGGGAATCAAATAGGAGGCTTTATGTATAGGTACATTTGTGGCAAGGGAAAAAAATCAACAGAGACATGAGAATATAGTTGCCAAGTGTGAAAAAAATTGAGAATTCATGATACAGATTTTATGGAAATCAAATTTTATAGATAAACAAAAAAATTAATGAGTATTAAACTCAATAATAAAATAAAGCACAGAGATCACGTCATGGCTAACAAGACCAAAGTGATGCCATTTTGCCTCAAAATTTATATATTTACATTGTATTAATTTAATGTACACCAAGAAAGAAAATGAACTACAATCCAAGTTGGGAAATCCAAGATATAAATTCTCAATTTAAAGAATGTATTTGCTACTATACGTGACTTTGGTCAAATCACTTCCTCTCACTAAACTGAATGAGATCAGCACTGTCCAACAGATATAAAGATAGGAGACATATATGTCATTTTATATTTTCTAGCAGCCAAAAAAGGTACATAGCCAATAAATATTACTTCACCAAAGTAGCAATATAAAAATTGAGATATTTCACATTCTTTTTTTTAATAAATCTCCAAAATCTGGTATTTTATACCCATAATACATCTATAGAAAGAAAGAAAGAAAAGAAACAAAAAGAAAAGAAAAAGAAAAGAAAAGAAAAGAAAAAAGAAAAGACAGAAGAAAGAAAACTTCACACAAAAAACCAAGCCCTCTAATGGGCTGCTATAACCCTGAACACTCTACCATAACATGCCATCACACAGCGGTATAGCTATCTGAGTTTTTAAATTGGTCTCTACCATGAGACTGACAACTTCCTGAGAACCTAAATTATGTGTTTGTGTTATAAACACCCAAAACACCAGGTATAATGCAAGAGGACAGGGACAGCTCTTGGTCAGACTGCCTGGGTTTGAATCCCAGTTACAGTACTCCTTAGCTGTATAAACTAAAGGCAGTTAATCATTCATGGCCCTCTGTTTCCTCATCTGAGAAACAAAGATAACAACCTCCACTTTCTACAGCACTGTTTTGTGGATGAAGTGAGGTAACACATTTAGTGTATTAGTATATTAAATTTGTACAGAATTGAAAAGAATGGTTGACAAACAATAAGTACTTACCAAATATTACCAAGTATTATTCCATGTTCAACAAATGGTAAATAAATGAATTTTAATTTTCACTTGTTGCTGTGTTATAATATAAAAATCTTCAGTTTTATGGGCAATTGCCTAGCATGCATGAGGCCCTCACTTAAGATCTTAGCACCACAGAAGAAAATAAAGTCTTCAATCTTAAAATCCTTTACTGGCAGAAAATTATTTAAGAGCTATAACTTCATTGTTTTTCATTGATAAAATTACTATTATTCAAATAAAGGTTTCCACCTTGAATCTCCTCCTAGTGAACTTTACTGCAGTCCTATCCTGTGCTTCACAACAAAGGTTGAAACTTAACAGATGTTTCATTTATAAATACTTGTAATCAAAGCAGAAGACATTCTTCAAACAATCAGCACTTATGAGAAATTCTTGCTATGATTCAAATAAAAAACACTATTTTCCAGTAGCAAAATAAAATAAAATAAAGGAATGCTCTACCAAAAATCCATTCTACCTACTTCCTAACACGACCCACACTTATTTCTAAGTGTACTGTTCTCCATCCTGACTCTCCCTTGCCCTACTCTACCAGTGAAACAACTGTTTTCATGTGAATAAGCTCATTTACCTTCTCAATTATTCCCTTAGAAAAGACTCCGTCCACCACCTGATGTACCCAAGACCACATTACTTCCCTCATCCTCATTCCATCCCCGTGCCACCTTCTAACATGCTTACTGTGGTCACTTCCTTTCTGCCCTCATTCACCAACAAACTTCCCCTCAGAAGCCCTCTAACCACCCCACTGACTGCTCCATCACGCTTCATGACACACACCCTCAGATTCCTTCAGTAAGTCTAGCACCTGGATCACAGTCTCATCAGTTTTAAAAGCGTAGTCAAAAGAGTGAGACTGAAATATTCAAATAAGTCATCATATTGACATTTCACTATCTCTGGTATCCTTGACCAGCAGGACCATTTAGACCAATGAGGCTCAAGAATGAGGCCAAAGATGGGATAAGTACCAGGATGAGATAAACCTCAGGAAAGAAGTGAAAATGGTTTCCATTATCATCTTCAGAGCCAAGGTATGCCTCTCAAGTCTATGCTGAACAAATGAATTCCAAAAATACTTCAAACTCCAAAATGTAATCAATCACCTCTTATCAACTCTTCCTTCACCTTACCCCAAACACCTTTCCCCTCCCAGCACCCTTTATTCTATTAAAAGACTCTATCACTGCGTCATCTAAGCTAAGGGCTTAGTCACTTTGAACTCCATGCCTCACAGCAGAGCTGGTATCTGTTCCTTTTGAGTCTACCTAACTCTATTCCAACACAAACAATAAGCACCACGTTCCTGCCATGCATCATTCACACAAGTAATTAACTTTGCAGCCTGGCTGTTTTCAAATACATTCTATTCAGGAAGTTCACTCAAATTTCACCTCTTCCATGACATTTCTCAATTCTCATTGTTTCCCACCAAAGAGTAATCTCATCTTTTCTCAATGTCCATTCCACACTTTAACTACACTACATTTTATGACAATAATCAATTTACATTTTGTTAGAAGTTGTAAGTATTTATTACTGTGGGATAAACTCTACAGATGCATATTAAGTACTAAATATCTTTCTGTCTATATGTAGTTTCTTTTTTTTGTCTTTTGTTTGTTTTTTTCCAGTACCGGGAATCAAACCCACAACCTTGCGCTTGCCAGGCAGGCACTGTGCCGCTGAGCTAAGTCCCCGGCCCCCATATGTAGTTTCTGATAGACACTATACGTTAGGTACATAGCAAAGTTTATCTATCAATTATGATAACTTCATTAAAAGTATAGAACAATTCTTCCATGTAAATAATTTTTAGCATCTCACAATAGGCACTAATTTATCAACATGCAGTCATATTATAATGTGATTTTAATCAACATACAAGAACACATAATTCTCCAAATTGTCTCAAGTATGAGCTTCTCAATACTGAAAGATGTCCTTTCTGTTCTAGTAATGTACTCTCAGTATAGAGAATGAAACTGGGAATGATCTACTATGTCCCCTTTATCAGAATACAGGAGATTTCCTATTTTAAATATAACACTTTGTATTAGCACAGACACTTGTATTTCAGGGGCCATGGGTTATAACACAGTTGATGACATTAAGTTAACATTTATTGACCACTTATGTCAGACAATATTCTAAGCACTTGGCATGTGTTGTCTCATTTAATTTTTATAAAGCTCTATAAGATAAGTACTATTACCATTCCCAAGATACGCTTCTTTTTTTAGGAATTAGTCATATGAGGTAGATCATACATTTTTTAATGTCCATTAGAATAACCAAACAAATGAATAAAAGATGTATTTGTGATAGGTCAATTATATACAAGTTCTGACAGGGGTATCAAAAGATCTAGACTTGCTTCAGTCACCTAGATCTAATATTCACTGAGTTTCAGTGTTCCACTGATTTAGTTTTCTTACGAAGCAGTGGTAAGGATCAAACAAACGCATGTAAACCCAAATCATAAAAGAGCAACGGATGTGAGGACAAGGAATCCAATTTCTGCTCTAACCTCTACTGGACTAAGACTTTGTGCAAACAGATCTTACAGCTTCTTTGACCTACATCTACCCTTTCAACAAGTATGGGGCAACTACTTAATACCAAACATTCTGCTAGGGTTAGGGATATAAATTGAAAATGACAGATACTATTTTCTGTCCTCATAGAATTTATAGCCTATGGGAGAGATACAGATGAGTAAAAAAGACATTACAACAGAGTTGATTAAGAGCCAGATAAGAGAGAATATAAAAGAGGCACCTAATTCAGATTTAAGAAAAAACACTTCTCAAAAGGAAATGGTTTTCAGATTGAGACTAAAAATAATTAGTAAGACAAAGAAGTAAAGACTTCCAGGCAGAGGGAAAAAGATTCAAAGACCTAGGCATAGCAGGAAAGTGTTAATAGCAGATTCTAGAAAAGTAAAGAGAGTTTTGCAAAAATATTCATAAGGAATGTTCCATGTGATGGTTAAACTTGATTGTGTCAACTTGATTGGCTTAGAAGTCAAGGAGATAAATACAGCACACTTCTGAGTAGTCGTGGAGGTACAGCCTTAGGTATTATATCTAATCCCTTGGAGCTGGGGATTTAGCTCAGAGGCACAGCGCCTGCCTGGCAAGTGCAAGGTCGTGAGTTCTCCTGGTACCAGAAAAAAAAAACCAAAAAACAAAAAAAACTAATCCCTCCCCCTTACTCTCTCTGGTGCTATTCCTCTGCTCTGCTTCCTGGCAACCATGAATGGAGCAGCTTTGCTCCACCACACCCTCCCACCATGATATTTTTGGAGCCGGCTGATCATGGACTGAATCCCCTGAAGCTGTGAGACAAGTTAAACCTCTCCTTCTTTAAACTGTATTAGGTATTGTGTCTTAGTGACAGGAAATCTAATATATTCTTATATAATTTACAACTGCATGTAAATCTATAATTATTTCAATAATTTTAAGTTAACATGTATATCAGAGCTGTCACTTAATACTAACAATCAACTGTATAATGGATTATTACTATAGAGAGAAAGCTAGGAGTTGTGATGATGGAAATGGAACTACTTAGGACAGTGAATAACCATATTTCAGTAGTTGGTCAGAATTTAGAAAATCATGACTCAGTACCTTTCACATCTGGTAGATATTGTAGTCCATCATCTTTCTTTCCCAACAAACTAGTATCATCTGTGTCTGTAAGAGAAAAAAGTTTTTAAACTAAGAAAGATATGTTGAAACTGCATCATGAAACTTCCCATTATTTCAAAAGTTCCAGGTCCTTCTTAAGTCTCCATCCATGTATCCTGTTCTCATATTTGCTACCATATTCTCCCTTCCTTTTTCTCTCTCCCCAGATAGATAATATGATATATATTTATCATATATGAAATGTTTTGACATATACCACACTGTGGAGTGGTTTCTACCACTGTTTTCATCAACTGTCTCATTTCTCTCTAGGGCTCAAGGTATCCCAGGTATATTTATCCTTTGTATGATGAAGAGACTGGTTTCATTTGGACTTCAACTCAGATGTCACCTACTTTAAAAGTCCTGTACAAACTAAAATAACACACTGAGAAATGGTAACTTTCTCTCCTAGGAACAAGGACCTCAAGATTTATCATCTACCTGTGTTTTCCTGGAAACACCTGATTAATATGGAATCTCAGCTGTTATCAAACAAAATGTACTGTAAAAAAAAAATAAAAACGTACTGTAAAAAAAAAAAAAAAAAAACAAAAAAAAAAAAAAAAAAAAAAAAAAAAAACCCCTGATTTGTGAATTGCCTGTGCACTAGAAGAATTGTAAAACTGTAAATACCTGCCAGGAGACACATGCTTCAGCCTCCCAATCACAGTGTGGTAGGTAGTATAAAGGTTTAGTTAGCTATCAATAGAAAACTATTAGGAGAATCAAAATAAAACTTTAGGCCCAGGCTAGGGATTTAGCTCAGCCACACATCGCCTGCCCAGCAAGTGCAGGGTCGTGAGTTTGATTCCCACTACCGGGAAAAAAAAAAGAAAAACTTTAGGCCCAACCACTATAAAACCGTATAAATCTACATAAATCTACAATTCTCAGGCATAGCCAACTATTCTGAACTTGACACTACAGGGAGTACTACCTCAAACATGTACTAATTCTTCAGAGAAGACACTCTTTCTCTAAGCTATTCTTTCCACCTAAAACGCTAACCTAAGAAAAATATCCACCTATAGAGGATCTGTGTCATGAAATAACTTCCTCTATTATGCCCATACCAACCCAACCTGGAAGTTCTTGGATAAATTTCTAGGACATTCTCAGGTAGCTCAGACCAGAGGTGCTGCAATCAGTTGGGCAGTGTGTCACAAATGATTTCTTACCAAGACAAAGTACCAAACTTGGCCTTACGACTTCTTCCCCTTTAGTAAGTCCAAAAAGGAGGACAGATATGGTAGGAGGGAAGTAGAGTTAGTAAGCAAAAAAGATGTACAATCCTACTCCATAAGAATGTGCCTGGCTGGAAGTGATGGTGCATGTCTAATCCTAGCACTTGGGAGGCTAATGGAGGAGGAATGCCAAAAATTCAAGGATAGCCTGGGCCACACAGTGAATTCAAGGCCAGTATGAGCTACACAGCAAGACCCTATACCCCCAAAAAAGTGCCTGGTCTACACGTGTTACCAAGGAAATTATCTACTATCCCAGTCCATGTTGGCACTACTGAAGAAAGAGGATTAAGAACCTCTGGCTTCAGTGACTATAGACATTTCTCTAGGGGTGGGAGACAAAAACTCATTCCTATATGGTATCATGGTTCCTATAACAAGTAGCAAGAAAGGCAAACAGAATTTTAAACTGAAAGTAATAATTTTACTTTATATTATGTGACTTCACACCAACTCTGTAACTATACTTAACATTTATGGGTTAAAAATTACAAGGAAATAACATGAAAACAAAATAAACTATCTCTACAAAATGGCTGAGAAACATATGGCAACATGTTTTTTGCTGATGTTAAAATAAACTGAACTCTTAGCTATAATCAAATTTGTTATACCCTAGAACTATAAATGCACCTAAAATTGCATGTTGATCACCTTAATAATAACCAAGAAGCAAGGTTTCTATCTTAAGATGAAAATAAATGAAATAAATATATAAATCATAAGAAATTCTAACATTCTCAAACATGTAATAATAAAAGAAAATAAGATTTCAAAGATTCTTCATTTTAAAAGTTTAAAACTCTGCAAAGTAAGATTAAAGATAATATTAAAGATAGGTCTCCAGGTGAGCAGGATGTATTTTACCTGTGCAGTGACCAAGGTGCCTTATATCAATTTGTTCCTGCTTTAAACAAGATGCCTCTCGAACAAAACAGGGGTTGTTATAGGAGCTCCCATCAGAAGCACACACAGGATTAAAGCTGTATCCGCTGCAGTCTATATTACATACACACCTGTTAGAAAAGACAACAATCACCTTTATTTGACAACCAAAGTATCACACAATGCTGCAATGGTAAAACAGAAATTCATGTCTATTGCTCTGCTTTCTGGAACAGAAGTAAATATACTGCTTTATGTCACTGATGAAAGCTTAAACACACTGAGCACTCAACTAAAAATATTTTTCAGGTGAGGATCTGAAAAGAATTTCATTTAGATATTAACCCAGTAGTTTCTCAAGAATTTTCATATTTAGATCAAATAACCAGGAGATGTCCAATGTCAACAACATTAATTAAGAGACAAAGTGGCACAGAGGAACAAACACAGATTTGTGTTACCAATCAGAAGTCGTGAATCTAAATCCTAGCCCTACTAATCACCAGATTTGTGTCCAGGTCCTTCCTCAAGTCTTATTTATCAATCTGAAAAACAGAGGCAATAATTACATACCACCTCGCCAAATAAATGACAAGCTTAAAAATATAACAGACACAAAATATGTAAAATGCAAGGCCTATTTATGCACTTTGTAGCTGTACATCTATCTGTGTAACTAAGTCCACTGAATTCCAGGTACTACACCACGGAGAAGGCAGGGATGGACAAGGATGAGTGTTCCTCTCAAGGACAGAGTCTTGGGAACAGAAAAATGAAAACAAAGAGATTCTCCTATTTTCAGCACATGTTAGACTGTGAACCTTCATTAGCACTGGATATATCATCTTCTTAAATGCATACATAAGCTGGTAATAAAAAGCCAAAAATGTTCAGGACAAAAGTCAAATGAAGACATAAACTGAGAAAGGTTGATTGAATTCTAAAGCTGTTTTTCACCTTGAAGGCATTTGTCAAGCTGGGTAAATTCAATTATCAACTTTTTGGTTTTGTAGGCCTCTGGGGACAGGAGACAAATAATACTGACCCACCTATGCAGAGGGGTCTAGAAACCCTAAAATAGCTGCAACTTCAAGAAGTCACAACCCTCTGAATGAAGGTTGAGTTGCCATGTTCCAAAGTAACTATTAAAAGGGGCTGGGGGACCCTACCCTGAACCTTCACAGAGGCAATAATTTAGAATTCTACTTAGTTGTTCTGAAAATCCTCAAGCCCAGAATTTATCTTAAGAGGTCAAGGGCTGAAAGGAGCCATAGGCATACAACAGAACCAAATACAATCTTCCCTGAAAAACCTCAACTTCACCCCAGATTTCATGGATTCTCCAAGATATAGTTCTGAGAAAAACAAGCAGCACACGTGTACGCACATGTGCTTGCACACACAACACACACACCCTACACACTCATTCAATCATATATCTACAACAAACAAGGAAATAAAACACCACCAAGTAAAATAAGCAATATATTACTAGAAGCGACAAAAAATGCAATAGATAGATTTAAAAGCAAAATAAATAAACTAGGGGGCTGGGGATTTAGCTCACCGGCAAAAGTGCCTGCCTGGCAAGCGCAAGGTCATGAGTTCGGTTCCCGGTACCAGAGAAAAAACCAAAAAAATAAAAAAAAAAATAAATAAATAAATAAACTAAAAGAGAATTAGTAAACTGTAAGGGAAATTTCTGTTCAAGCCACAGTAATCAAAGAAAACATATGAGAAAAATATGAAGAGGTATAGAAAACAATCAAAAGAGTTTGTAAGAATCAAAGTTGTATAAGAGTTAAAAGAATGAAGCAGGGCAATATTCTCAGCAATTTCTCCTCAAATTTTCAAGAAAAAAGACTAATATAAACTTATAAAAGTACAACAAATCCAAACAATTATCACAAATGAATCCACTTTGAAATATCACTGTGAATTTTACAGCCAAAAAAAAGGGAGTATTTCAAAAGGGACCAAAAAGATAACTCACCTTCAAAAAACCAAAAATAAAAAAGACGGGGCTGGGGATTTAGCTCAGTGGCAAAAGCGCCTGCCTGGCAAGCGCAAGGTCGTGAGTTCAATTCCTGGTACCAGAAGAAAAACAAAAACAAAAATAAAAAAGACAACAAATTAAAAAAAAATACTGAAGCTAAATTATTTACAGCCAAAATAGTGACACAGTAACTGCAGTGCACTAGATAAAACAGAATTATATATAAAGAGAAAATATTTTTCATGAATGAAAGAAAAATAAAATTTGAAAGAAATCAAAATAAGAATTTCTCATCTACTAATTGTTTAAAAGGAATTTCTAAAGGCATTATAAAAATCATCTGTTTGTGCTTCAAATCTGAGATACGAAACAAGAAAACAAGTATAAATATGTGGATTATATCAACAAAAAACTGACTATACAGGACAACAACAATACTCTGTGGTCACAGTTTTTAGAAACAGTAATTCAAATGCATTTACTACATTATTATGATAGCACACAAGAGGGGCTGAAAATAAAATATTTAATATTAAATATTTAATATTTAAATATTTAAACAGAACAGATGTTAATGAACTTCAGAATGTGATAAGTTGAATATACATGCTAAAATTGCTAAGGTTACCACTAAAAGGAAAATCCATAACTTTGAAAATAATAGAGAATAAAATTGTAAAGGAGAGAAAGGAGAAATAAAGTAACAGAAAAAAATCAAAATATATCAGTACTTAAAATATATTTAAGTATTTTATATTTATATTTATATATTTATATTTATATTTTATATTTATATTTTATATTTATATTTAAATTCTCCAGTTAAATAACACATTAGATAAAATTACAAAAGCCAGCTATAGGCTTGTAAGATACATGTTAGGACACGGTGATATAAAAACTTGAAAATAACAGGACAGTGAGAGAGACCGGCACAGCACATCCCGCGGTTATTGTGGGTTGCGCCTTAGTCTGGGTCACCACAGCCAGCCACCCAGGGAACTCGGGCTGACGCCCCATGCTCTGTGGTCATTGTGAGTTGCACCTGAGTTCACAGCGTCATTAGCCAGCCACCAGGGAATTCAGACTGTTGCCCCAAGCCCTGTGGTTATCGCGTGTCGCGGGTTAGTCTGGGTCACCATCACCAACTGCCCAGGTAACTCAGACTGGCGCCCCATGCTCTAGGTCATTGTGAATTGCAACTGAATTCAGGCTGCCATTAGCATACTGCCGGGGAACTCAGACTGGCACCCCACATCCTGTGGTTACTGTGGGTCGCACGTTAGTCTGGGTCGCCATTGCCAGCCACCCAGGGAACTCGGGCTGACACCCCATATTCTCTGGTGATTATGAGTCATGCCTGAGTTCAGAGCACCATGACCAGCCGCCAGGGGAACTCGGACTAATGCACCGGGCCCCACGGACATTGTGGATCACGCCTGAAGCCCCAGGAGCCCTTAGTCATCTGCCTGAGGAACTCAGACAGGTGTTCCAAGATCCGCTAACATTGTGGGTTGTTCCCAAGGTCCTGAAGAGACAGGTACACCCCATCAGCTGTCTGAGGACCATAATCCAGCAACGCATGTTCTACTGACATTGTTGGACAGCCTCAGGCCCGGGCATCCTCAGTCAAGTGCTTGGGGACCCTGGCCCCAAAGGCCAGTGCTCCATTGCCATCGGGGCTCTCATCTGAGCTGTGTATTCCACCAACTGCCTGGGGATCTTGGACCCAGTGGGACACTTCCTGCTGCCATCATGGGGCAAGCCTGATAACCAGGAAATCGAGAGGCCCTAGAGACCTTCCAGTGAGCTACCCAGGCAGGGTGAGACCCAGTACTTTACCTCCAACATCCACAATGACAAGACGAAGGACCAAAATGCAATCACAGAACTTCACCCCAACCAGAACAAGTCCAGGAGATACCAACATAGGAAAACTCAGAAGTCACACACCTGAAATCTCTGAAATGATCACAACTGAAGTAAAGAAACAACTCCATCAGGCCACAGAAGAAATCAGATCAGAAATAATCTCTCAGGTAAAAAATGAAACTCCAACAATAATGAAAGAGTTGCTCAGCACATCTAAAGAGACATATACAAAAATATAGACAAGTATAGAAAAATAATGGAAATGTTAAATGAACAATACAGAAAAGGACTAGAATGCATGCAATAGATTCATACACATATCCAGGAAATCAAAACCTCCATCAAAAGCTGGCAAAACTACCTGAATGAAGCCGAAGATAGAATTTCAGATCTTGAAGACAGCATTGCAGCTAATGATCGTGAAGGAAACATTTCTTAAAAATTACAAGGAACCAGGAAATAACAATCCAACAGTTGCAAGATGATGCAAAGAGAAACGATGTAAGACTGATAGAAATCAATGAAACAGGAGTCAACACAAATGACCTAAGAAGACTATTTGCAGAAGTAATAGCAAAAATTTCTCAAGTATGGAAAAACAGTCTGCCATACAGGTAATGAGGCATATATAACTCCAACAAGTTATAACCAGAATAAAACTACACCCAGACATATAATAGTCAAGATCCCAGAAATCCAGCAGAAGGATAGAATATTAAAAGCTGGTAGAGAAAAGAAACAGATCACCTATAAAGGAAAGCCCATCAGAATGATGGCAGATTTCTCAACAAAAACCATCAAATCAAGAAGAGCTTGGAGTGAAGTATTACAGGTCCTAAAACAAAGCAGTTTTCAACCCAGACTGTTGTATCCTGCAAAACTATCTTTCAAATTCAATGGAGAAATAAAACACTTCCACAACAAAGAACAACTGAAGAACTTCAACAGTGCCAAACCAACCCTACAAAGAGTATTAAAAGATATTCTAGAAAGAGATAAAAATGATCACAATTTCAAGAAAAATAGAAAGGAGCCACCTAGCAGAGAAAGCATTTAAATAGAGAGTAAAAGTAGGAAACTGACAGCAAGTAAATAACATGACAAAGACAAGCCAGCACATAACAGTTATAACCATTAATGTAAACGGCCTCAATTCACCAGTCAAAAGAAGCAGACAGGCAGAGTGGATCAAGAAACAAAATCCAACAATATGCTGTATACAAGAAACACATTTAACTCAAAAGGAAATTCATAGACTTAAAG